GGCATAGCAATATTGAGACGTCGTCGGCGTCGGATCTGGCGCAGAGGCGATTCGGCCAACAGGGCCGGGTCATGAGCTACTAAATGAAGCTCATGTCGAAGAGAGAGAGAGAGAGAGAGAGAGAGAGCATGAATTGCTAAACTCTGTGCCTATGCGCCTGGGCAGCTGGGCAGCTGGAGGTAGGCGAGCACTGCCTTATGCAAGGCATGCGTGCTGGCCAACGATGGCTTCCTCATCCTGATGAGTGCACCGCAAGGCAACCGGGAGTATTCGGCGACCGGCATGATAAAAAAAAAAACTCCGAATGGGAGCGAGGTGTGATTGCCTCTCCCTGTCTTTCATGCCGGTCCTGTCTCGTCACTTGCCTAGATGCCACCCTGCTTGTGTTCTTGTTCGGTTGGACCCCATGTTGACGCCGTCTGTCATGCTTGACCACTGTATATGGTGAGCGCCAGCCAGCAATTTCAACGACGCTGCATGCAAGCTGCGCTGCCAGTCGCCACAAGTGCAATGTTCTTATGTCACACACCCAAACTTTGTTCCGTCATCGCATCAGGCGCCAGGCATTATGCGGTGGCAAGTCGCATTGCGTGCAGATAACGCTGGCGTAAACGTAGGGGCGAAGCAGCATCAAACAAGCATCGTGACCTACCTACCTACCAAGCTTGCCTAGGTACCTACCTACCTTAGGTAGGTAGGTATCTTGCCTTGGCTTGGTACCTAGCTGGCCAGGCATTCCGTCTTCTGGCAGCTCCCGAAAGGCACTTGAGGCCTGGGCCCATTCATTGCATTTCTTCCCTGAGCCACTCAGTCTGGGTACCTTCCCAGGTGGTAGGTACCTACCCACTAAGCTATGTCTCTCCACAATTTCTTACCCCCTTCCCCTGCCTGTTTGTTCCCCCGCTGCCGTCGCCGTCACCGTCACTCTTGTTGCGCCTGCATTTCGTTTGCCTCTGGCCTGTCACTCAGTACACATGTCGAGGCCAGAGCCTTGTTCCCCATTCCACACGCTTCCACAGGCCTCTCTTATGGAACCGATCCTCATCACCCTGGCACGCTCTCCTGCAGCCCGCCCCCCATCCATCTCACCAAGCAGACTCCCCCCATCTGCCAAATGAAACAATCGACGAATGAGCGGCTAACCTGCCCCTGTTCCATTCGAAACAACCTCTGCGGGAGCTTGACTCGTTGGGATTTGCAGATTCCAGCTACACTACGCTAAATTTCGGATGTCCTCGAGACAGCAAACGTCACGTCACCCCCTGCCTGGTTCCATCACCCAGGGTCACTAACTTGACTTCAACAACCCAACCCTGGCGACCGTGCCGTGGCCCTCTCTTTTTGGACTTCACTCTGATTGCTTTCGCCGGGTGAAGGGTACTTTCCACTGCACCTGCCTGACTTCACCTACCTTACCTACCTAGGTACCGACGTAGCTCGGCGCCTCTACTTGACCTTGAATTTACCCCTCCACCAGCACCTTCCTGGCACCGCCATCGCTTTTAGGCCGCCAGCTGCATCCCATCACCATCCGGTGGGCCCCTCGGTTTGACCGTCCCACCACGGCTTCTTCCCCACGACCTCCCCACGGCCATTCCAGCGCCAGCCTGTCTAGGGATCCTCTTTCTTTCTTCGCAACTTAATAACCATCATCCCGGCCTTCCAAGTCCAAATTCTCACCACCCTCCCAACCTCCAACCTCCCAGCCTGGCCCGCCCCCCGGTTCCCTGGCCCGCATCGACTGGCTCGAGTCTTTCGTCCCCGTCCAAACT